CCTTTTTTTCTTAGAGTTTAGATTTTGAAATTACAGATAAATGATTCTGGACCTATTAAGACCAAAACCATACTGTCCATCATGATGGGATTTGAGTTTCCTTTTTACTTTTACTTCTACCTGGTGTATGGTTTTATTAAACTTCAAATATTTTTTCAGGCACTTCTCTAAAAGTTGTTACAAAAGTTGTTTTCATTGCTCATTTTTGTTTGTTTGTCACATTATAAATATGTTTTATTTGTACAATAAAATAATATCACACAATGTTGGGTGAGGGAATGAAGTTGCAAAATAGCGAGGAAACATTGTGTTATGTATAAATAAATTATATGGATGCTGGAAAGGTGCTATTACATGGAACAGTTACTTTACCTTTTTTGTACTGAAAAAAAAATAGCAGCACACTTTGATTTTAACTCCCTAAAAAGTCAGACAATTATTCACTCAACAATATTTAGTAAGTGCCTATTCTGTACTGGTCACTGTTGTAAGGATACAACAGTTTTTAAAAAGTCACTTCCCTCATGCTTACATTCTGTTAGCATATAACAGGAGCAATAATAATGAAAAGATTAAGTGCCATGAAGAAAAATAAAGCCGGACGGGGCAACAAAAAACAGGAGGGCTCTTCAAACTAGCTTTATGAGGTAACATCAATATAAACATTTTAAAGGAATACTCTTTATCCTGGGGAAAATCAAAGTACCATCAAGTCAAAGGACTATCGAGAACATCTATGTTCCAACCTGATGAGACCCAAGTACAGTAAACAGCTTCTAAAACCTGTATAAATATAGCTTTCTAAAACTAAAAAGGGATTCCAATGAAAATGCTCCCATACTTACTCAATTATAGATTTTTGTCTTTCAGTTCTTTTCCATTTCTAATAGATCAAAATAATGTACGTCTGTGTATAACATTCTAATTATATTGGTCATAATGGACTTTTATTTCATTGTTCACCCCAGTGCTGTCTTCTAAGGGATGTTTAACCCACATGAGGCTTTTAAGAAAAGGTTAAAGATGCAATATTATGAAGACAGGAAGAATAAAAACAAAGACATTATGTAAGGACAGAAAAGCTGCAGCTATCAAATATCTAATGAGGTGTCAGGATTCAATTTCACTTTCAATGCAGAAATTTTATAATTTTATCTTAAACTAGAGGCCCGGTGCATGAAATTTGTGCAAGGGGGGGGGGTTCCCCCACCCCGCCCGGCCCCCCCCCCATTTGGGGCTGCCTGATTGCCCAAACTGCCTCTGCCTGCTAGCCTGATCACCCCTAACTGCCCTCCCCTGCCAGCCTGGTTGCCCCCAACTGCCCTCCCCTGCCGGCCAGATCTCGCCCCCAACTGCCCTTCCCTCTCAGCCTGGTTGCCCCCAACTGCCCTCCCCTCTCAGCCTGGTTGCCCCCAAATGCCCTCCCCTGCTGGCCAATTTGGTTCTGATTGGTCGGTTTCTATGCCAGCATCAAAAGCTCCACCTCCTAGGCAGCCATTGGCTCCCCACAGCACCCAGATTTGGTACTGATTGGTCGGTTCCTATGCCAGTCAGCATCTCCGGGCCTATCTCTGGGCCTGATCAGCAGCCCCCACGGAGGCCAGAAGAGAAAGAAAGGCCCAGCTGCTGGCAAAACTCAGAAAGAAAGAGGGAGAGAAAGAGAGAGGCAAGTACTGATCAACAGCTGCCACTGAGGCTGAGGATCAGACCCTGCCTCTCTCTGGGTCTCAGCCCACTGGGCAGTCAGTGCTGGGTCACCAGGCTGCAGCGGGGCAGTCAGTGCTGGGTCACCACAGCAACCCAGCACTGACTGAAGGACTTCCGGGTTGGTCAGCCTCCAGTCATGATTGGTCGTTACAACCCTGGGCTTTTATATATTAGGATAGGTGGGATAGAAGCTAGCAATATAGAAAACTTTGAAAAACCACACCGAGGTTAATGAAACGACTAAACTCAATGTAAGCAGTCCTTGAGGGCAAGTATATAGCTACTGTGCTACCCAGGGAAAGCCTGGGTGGGAAGGCAGATGCGTGCATAGCCACGTGGAAACCTTTTCAGGCTTCCGTCCTGGGCAGAGTGGGCTTGAGTGCTAAGCAAGGAAGGGAACAGAAATGAAGGCTGGCTCCTATCCTCAAGGGATTTTCGACTAAGTAACTTTCCCATTTTCCAAACAGAAGTCACTTAAAAACAAAAAGAACTATGAGCAATGAAAACAACTTTTGTAACAACTTTTAGAGAAGTGCCTGAAAAAATATTTGAAGTTTAGTAAAACCATACACCAGGTAGAAGTAAAAGTAAAAAGAAAACTCAAATAATGAATATAAAATGGGGGGGAGGGGGGAAGCCTGGTTATGTATCATTTAGGAAGTTTATAAATCTAGGGTATAAAGATGAAATTTTTTTTTTTTTTTAGAGAGAGAAAGGGAGACAGAAACATTAATGTGACAGAGAAACATGGATCAGTAGCCTCCTGTACACGCCCCAAATGGGGACCGAACCTGCAACAAGGCCTATGTCCTGACCAGGAATTGAACACGACCTTTTGGTGCACAGGACAATGCTCCAACCAACTTAGCCACCTGGCCAGGGATGAGAATAAAAATTTAAAACTAAGAGTATTCATTTATTAAGTCTAGTAGTTTTTTGATGGAGTCTTTAGGGTTTTCTATGTACAGTATCATGTCATCTGCGAATAATGACAGTTTTACTTCTTTTCCAATTTGGATGCCTTTCATTTCTTCTTGTCTGATCGCTGTGGCTAGCACTTCCAGTACAATGTCGAACAGGAGTGGTGAGAGTGGGCATTCCTTTAGCTTTTGCCCATTGAGTATGATGTTGGCTGCAGTTTGTCATACAAGGCTTTTATTATGTTGAGGTATATAAAAGAAGAAACTTTTACCATTTGCAACAGCATAGATGGACTTGGAGAGCATTATGCTAAGCGAAATAAGCCAGTCGGAGAAAGATAAATATCACATGATCTCACTGATTTGTGGAATATAATGATCAACATAAACTGATAAGCCAAAATAGATCCAGAGACAAAGAAACACCGAACTGACCATCCAACCTCAGAGGGAAGGCAGGGGAGGGTGAGGCAATTAAAAAAAAAACTAAGAGTAGCCTTTATTTTTTAAAGAGCCTTTAAAAAACGCCAAGCTCCAAAACTCCGTAGTGAACAGAAAAGCAGGGAAGTAGTTATCTAGTCAGGTTAGCACTGGTCTGTCCTTGGGAGCCAACTACAGTCGGAGCTTTTTCTATGGAGTGAAGCAGATTTAGAACAACAGCACAGGATGATTAAAAGCACTGTCAGGAGGGAGTCGGGAAACACTTGAAACTCAATGTCCAATTAGTACCAGGAAGCTAAAAGATGTAATTCCATACTTAATCTTATTTCCACTCAATCTAATTTTCATTGATGGCCCTATACAAATAAAAGTATTTGACTATAAATAATCACTTGAAATGGGGTTGTAAACATAAATATGTTATTAAAAAAACAAACCCATAGTTAAAAAAAACTAAAACAAAGTAACAGCCTAGAAAATGAGAGGTTATTTATTTTCTGTGTTTTTTTTTTTTGCGGGGGGCAGGGGGGGGGGGGGCTTGTTTTTGCTTCTAAAATATCTGTATTAGTAGATTGGGGCCCAAAGCTTGTACTGAACAAGATCAAAAGTCATATTCTGATTAACATGTATCTGCACTTTAGGGGCACATCTTAAGAATGTCAAGGATTATGGGTTGATGGGGGGGGGGGCGTAATCTTTAAAGGAAAAGAGTAAATTCCATCTCAAGCATGTCAAACTCGCAGCGGGCGGGCTGGCTGCATGCGGCCTGTCCTCCATGAGTTTATGCTTGAGAAGGATTCAAGGCCCTAAGAACAGAAAAAGCAGATGCTTACAATGCATGTCCCCACCTGCAACCGTCCTTTCCCTCCACCAGGTGAGTGCCTCCTCTTTGGTTCCTTATCTCTGCAAACTGTCCCACCATCCACCCAGCTACGCAGGGTAAATAAAATCACCGCTATCATCCCAGCTTCACACTCCCCCATCTGCTCCCCAGACAATCACCCCAGGTCCTGTCCATTTTAATCGTCCATCTAGACTTCTTGCTCCCTTGAGCTTAGTTCAGTTCACTAACACCTCTTACATGCAGAGGACAGGAATTGGTCCAAACACATCTCAATAGCCACAACAAATCAAATCCATCCACCAAAGAAGACACATTAACATTATTTATTTAACAAAAAGAAAGCCCACATAATCCTAGGAATATCAGGCACTGCTAGCATGTTGCACTGCTAGAGTACAAAGAGAAAATGGATGATAGCAAACAGTCTACTAAGAAGACAAAGCCATGAGCATTCCTGAACAAGAGAAACTGAAGCGCCACAATCTGTGGGGAAAGGACGGACTGCTTAGGTATTTAACCAGCCCTTCCTCCTTCCCTCTCTGGGTTTGTCCCTAGTCCATTTCCTGTTTTATTGACTTACTTAAAGCCCTTAATGTCTCCCCATGGTCAAAAATCCATTGCTTATTTTGACTAATAAAAAGCTTATAATAGAAAATTTCAAACATATTATCTTGAAAGTAGAGAGAATAAGGCAGTGAACAACCTCATCAGGTACAATTATCATGGAAAATCTTTTTTAATCTCTCCTCTACCCTGGATTTCCTTTTGAAGCAATCCCAGAGATCATATTTCATCTGGAAAAATTTCAGTATGCCTCTTTAAGATAAAGGCTCTCTTTAAAAAAAATGAAAAACAAACCCTTAATGCCATTGTTACATCCAGACAAAATTAACCTAAATTTCACAGTAACCCCCTGCCAGCTCACCTTTCCCCAATTACCTTATTTTTCCTCCAGACTGCTTCGTGGTGGTGTGTTCTCCTGGCATTACTTATAAGGACCTTCATGGCCTGGCCTCTGCCTTCCTTTCAGGCTCAGTTTTGTGCTTCCAGCCATATTTACTAAATTTCTGTTTCCTTTTATTAGGTCTTTACATATAATCTTTTAGCAGCCTAAACCTCTTCTCAGCCCTACCCTCTTGCTTCAGGTCTCAGCTTAGATGTCACTTTACCCAAGAAACCTTTCCTGCTACAACTCCTGGGCCATGAAACGAATTGTCAAATACAGCACTCACTGCCCAGTGAGGTTACAAAACCTACCATCCCCTCTCCTCAAGTTCCCATTTAAATACAAATGCCAATTTATAACTTCCAGCTTCTTAGAAACTAACCTTCCCCTCTGGGGTGCTTCATGTTTGCCGTGCTTTATATTCATGCACAATTATTATACACACCCCTTTATAGATGGTGTCCTATAAGCGCAAATCAGACATCAGTTCAGAGGTTGTCAAGAGTAAGCAAATCCACCGAATTACGTAAACATTACAGTTAGTAATCATAAAGCCTTTCAAATTTGCATGAGGTATTTGGCTAATATGTGGGTGTGATACAGGCAGGAACAACAGAGCTAGCCGGAACTGTAAAGCAGGCTCTGGAATCCTGTTGTTACAGGAACAGAAAACCGCTCCGTCTTATTCTGAAAGTGGCACCAACTCCTAAAAATAAAAATGCACCCATTGAGGATGTTACTGTTTTTCAACAGATCACTGACTAGCACTAGCTTAATAGACTTTCTCTCCGGAGATAAACACTCAAGTATAATCAGACACCTATATTTGAAGATTAACTACCAAATAATTTTTTAGAAAATGTTGGTTGACTACTTTGGGTAACTTGCCTTATCTATAACATGAGGTCATGAATAATAACCGGGTAAAAGTAAAAATTTCCCTGGGGCCTAAGAAGTCTAATTTATATTGTGAAGCTAATTGATTATTATATTTCTGGCTTTGTAATTACTCTAAGAAAGCTTTTGCTTGAAAAGGTACTTATAAACACATACACTTTAAATACTACATTAGAATACTTAAGCGTTGAAAAAATGTTGACTTAGTATGCCATTAATGACTTATATTTATATGGTCTAAACTTACGAATAAGAATTATAGTTAACACTGACACAGTACTTATTATTGCCCAAACACTATTCTAAATACTTTATCTTATTTAATCTTCACCACAACTCTATGAGGTAGATATCATTATTACCCACATTAGAGAGGTTAAGTGAATTGCCCACGATCACCAGCTAATAAGTAGTAGGGCCAGCATTCAGTACTTTGGTCATTTTTGACTCTGAATGTCCTTCTACCACTTTTTAGGGAAAGCATCTACAAATAAGCACACAGCTTCAGGGCAGATTCTTCCAGTAAACACAAGGAAAAGGAGTAGGGCAGCCCTTCTAAGTCAGAAGAACCAACCTCCTGTAGTTTTCCGAGTGCAGGTCTTTTACCTCCTTGGTTAAGTTTATTCCTAAGTATCTTAATTTTTTTGTTGCAATGGTAAATGGGATTGTTTTTTTAGTCTCTCTTTCTGAGAGTTCATTATTGGTGTATTGCCGGAGACTATTTATTGTCTTCACTAACTGAATATAGACAGAGACCCCCC